CAGAGTTACAGGACTCTCTCCCAGACCACAGACTCATAATACAAGTCAGAGCTTTATAAAAAAGAAAAAAGAAGAAAGTTGTGTTTTCAAAATTTGAGTTCAAGTTATTTTTACTTCCAATAGTGTTACCATACTACACAGGTCAATGACTACATTTTTGTTTTACATTTTCATTGTAAGTGGGCTAAAGCAGTTAATTAAAAGTAGTCTAACATACATGTAAATGCTGTAATTTGATTATCTTAATAAACCATGTAACTTGGATGGATTCAATGCTGGCGTGACCACAGTGCACACGTCTGATGTCACTCACAGTGGTCCAAGGGATCGCTCAGGGAGTTTGTGTGTTCGCTCAGACACATGGAAAATTAGAGGGAACATTGGTGCTGATAGATTTTTTTTTTCTGCCCTGCAGGACTTAGCAGCGTCTGAGAGGGGACGACGCCACGCGGAGCAGGAGCGCGATGAGCTGCAAGATGAAATCTCAAACAGCACCTCTGGGAAGTAAGTTCACCTGCTCTAGGAAATGACATTACGAGAAAAGTGCAAAAGTCAAAACAAATGACTCTCAAAAACCAAACCAATAATTTACAGAAAAACTAAAATGACCCTGACAGTCGTATTTCGGCTGCTCTGTTCATCGAGGACATCTTATTTTTCTCGTTGTGTCAGGACTGCTCTGATGGATGAGAAGAGAAGGCTGGAGGCTCGCATCGCCCAGCTGGAGGAGGAGCTGGAAGAGGAGCAGGGCAACATGGAGCTACTCAATGACCGCTTCAGAAAGACAACCATGCAGGTTTGATTTCATACCGCAATGTCAGTATGAGCATATTCAGTGTCTTTAATCATCCGAGTCTTCATTGGACTAAAACATTTACTGAGCTCCAAGAAGCTGTAAGAATGTAAGAAAGATGGATGGGCCCTTGTTTCATTTCAGAGGTGTATCAGTTTGTCTTGAGTTGACTGCAGCTTTTTAAGGAAACGTAAAAAGCCAACAAATCCATGTGAAACCAAATATCAACTGATGTCATCTCCAAATGAAAATATCTGGGGGGGGTTTTGTCAACCTCAGTCTGGCAGCACTGATGAGGAGGGCAGGTTTTTACCCATCTCGGCTATCGGAGAGGAACCATAACCTGTGTCGTGCACCATCCCTGTCCACTTGGATTCTCTCTGTTTCTCCGTGACAATTTTTTTTTTTTACTCCACCTTTCTCGCCCTCCATCAGGTGGACACTCTGACTACAGAGCTGAGCGCAGAGCGCAGCACAGCCCAGAAAAGCGAAAATGCTCGCCAGCAACTGGAGCGTCAAAACAAGGAGCTGCGGGCCAAGCTGGGCGAGCTGGAGGGTTCTGTGAAGAACAGGTTCAAGGCCTCCATCACTGCCCTGGAGGCCAAAATAGCACAGCTGGAGGAACAGCTGGAGCAGGAGGCAAGGTAGGAATTTACTACACCGCTCTTCGTGCTCTAGCTAATGAACAAAACCAGTCAAAAAACTTTAAACGTGGAACATCTTCTCCACTCAAGGGAGCGAGCGGCAGCCAACAAGATCGTCAGAAGGACCGAGAAGAAGCTAAAAGAAGTCTGCATGCAAGTGGAGGATGAGCGTCGCCATACCGACCAGTTTAAAGAGCAAGTATGTCTACTGCTGCTGTAAATAAGCTGCATTTATCACTCACTGCGCGTGTTCTCAGCTTCAGCTTAACAACAGCTCTATGTCTCGCGTCTCCGTGTGTGTGAAGGTGGAAAAGGCCAACTCCCGTATGAAGCAGCTGAAGCGGCAGCTGGAGGAGGCTGAAGAGGAGGCCACGAGGGCCAACGCTTCACGTAGGAAGCTGCAGAGAGAACTGGATGACGCCACCGAGGCCAGCGAGGGCCTGAGCCGTGAGGTCCACACTCTCAAGAACCGCCTCAGGTGAGGAGGGAGAAAGTGGCTGCAGTCACAGGATCCTCATTTACTTGATCTTTTTTTTTAAAGTGACATTGCTACTTTAACCATTTGTCGCTAACAGCAGCAGACATTTTCCATTTTAATTTGTGTCTTCCTGTTTTTTACCTCCTCTCTGCTCCTCTCCCTCTTACAGGCGTGGTGGCCCCATCACCTTCTCCTCCAGTCGCTCAGGCAGACGTCCGCTGCAGGTCGAGGGAACTTCTTCTTTGGACCTCCTGTCCGACGATGAGCTGGAAAACAAGATCACTGACAACAATGCCAATGAGACCCCAGCGCCACAAACAGAGTAGAAGAAAAGCCTTTACCCTCCCTCAGTCAGCCCTAACAGACACAGCGGGACTCTCACAGCTTAAACAGGGACCCTCTTCTGGCCACTTTAGCACATGAAGTCCAAAACATCCCCAGTTTGACTAGATTTCCCTCTTCAAACCACAGGCAGCATGACCTAAGCCATCCTGACTTTCCTTTTCAACCTTAGCAGACACCAGCAGTTGGACCCCCAATGCTCTCACCACCGCCCCACTAAAGACTGTAAGAAACGCCTTACTACTCCAGCTCTGTGCTCAGCTCCTCTAGTTGATTTTCTTCTGCTGGACCACCGTTTAGCTCACAGGTGTCGAACTCCAGGCCCCGAGGGCCAGTGTCCTGCAGGTTTTAGATGTTTCCTTGATCCAACACAGCTGGTTTAAATGGCTAAATTACCTCCTCAACATGTCCTGAAGTTCTCCAGAGGCCTGGTAATGAACTGATCACTTGATTCAGGTGTGTTGACCCAGGATGAGATCTAAAACCTGCAGGACACCGACCCTCAAGGCCTGGAGTTCGACACCCCTGCTCAGAATGCTTCCAAATGCTAAAACGATAGCACTGCAATATTTGAAAGGAGCGCATCATAATGAAAACAGATGCTATTTTTTTTCACCGATCTACAATACATGCACCATGTGACTCAGTTTAGTTATATTAGTTATGAACTGGAACTGATATTGTTTGCTTTTCCAGTCCTATGCTAGGATTGCTTGCTTGCGTATGAGTATAAAATGTGAGTGTAAGCTGCTTCTTGCATTGGTTTCTCTTACGTTTGACAGTAGGTCAGTGTTGACTTGTAATTATTTGGCGTGAGCGCTAAATCGCACTCATGTCCTCTCGCTTCATTCTTCTTCTTCTGTGCCTTTTTTCGCTCTCTTTAAACTCTAAACCCATTTATGCCACATATACTGTTCATATATTGAAACATGCTTAATTTCATGAAGGTATTTTCATAAAGCAAAAATCATAAATTTACATTTGTAACAGATTATATTAGTGGAAACCTGATTTACTTTGGCGTGTATGTCCTCCTGCAGCGTGTATGTTGCCACGATGATTGATATGTCAGCCGTGTGGGGTTCTTTGTAGATGGGTGCTATGACTTTTCTTATCAGTAACTTTTATACTTTTTGAGTTATTAAGAGTTAAAAACAATCCAATAGACATCAACTGTATTTATATCTCTGCTATTGTATACGAGACAAACTCCATTCATATTTCAAAATGCTCAGTATTGCACATTGCTCAACTGTACCTTTGCTCATGACACGTACAGTTTATGAGTCTTTAGAAGTTCTATAATGCATTAAAGTCTATGGAGCCCAATACTCTCCTGGTTTCCTCAGCAGTCACTGATGTTTTTGTCTATTTTTTGTCTTTTGACTAAAGAGCATTTAGCTGAACTCAAAGATGAGATGCTACAGATGTCTTCTTCACTGCCAGAGGCATCAAACTTCTATTAGTTTGGGAGTCACACATAGCCCAGGAAAATAACTGCATAATAACTAATAACACATCCATGTTTTTATCTTACAGCTAATATAAAAACAAGAAGATTTACTTTCATGAACGATCTGTTTAAAGATCGGATGATAAACAGCTTTAGATGTCTCAAGAAAAGAAAAATGATGTGTCCGTTTTTCACCCTCCACTCATTGCTGTTAAGAACCTTGCCAGTGTTTCCTCAGTTTAACCAATTTACTTGTGTTTGGGGTGAGAACCTGTGAGGGTTGAGTGTTACAAAATACAGTCATGAACCAGTTCAAAGGTCAGATAAAAAGGGTGAATGCCAACGGAGATAACAGAGTTAACAGAACCAAAATGTATCTACGTTTTTAAGAAAAAGAAAGAAGAACATCGTGTGGTGAGTTTGTGAATGCTAGTTTGTAGTGACGGATCCTTAAAAAAAGAAAATCTAAACCAGAACAAACCCATACACACCTGCCTGCTGGGATCTTTTAACACAAAACCAGAAAGACAAAGAAGGTAAAGTATGATGAATGTCCTCAGAAAGCCAAAATGGGAGCACTTCTAACACTTTGGCAGCCCAGCAGAAGGTTTTTATAAAATTGTCTTGCTGATCTTACACCTTTTTTGTAAGCCCTCCAGTCCTAGAAGGTAATTTAATGTCAGTCCGTCTTTTTGAGCACAGGAACCTTTTTTAAAGTCACAGAAACCAAACTGTGAACACCAACAGTGTCCAGTAAGTTTACTCCAGTGCTGTACCTTAACAGTGTTTAAAGGGGATCCATTATGTTCTCAGTTATTTGGTTTTGAGGCTCTAATAAAGTGTCTTAGTAGTTCAACATAATCTTTATTTATCCCACACTGGGTGATAAGTTGCTTCCTCTCAGATCATCCTCTGTGTGAAACAAGTTCCTCCCGCTTTCATGCCAACTTTGTTCTGATTGGCTGCCCCTTGACAATGAACATTTGAACTAACATATGTGGATGCCATCCCCAGAGCAGCCTTCTCCCTCAGACGAGCTGAGACATTTCACCCCTAAACATTTTTAGGTGATTCAATCAACAGCCCAAACATAAAATTATGGAGCGTTGGGAACCACTTACATACAGTGCTTCCCTTTTTATCCAAAACACACTGTGGAGTCTGTGTGCGTGTGTGTGTGTTCAGTGAGAGAGGAGATAAAGTGCCTGTAATGCGCCGAGTTGTGGAAACAACTTCTGTAATCCTTCACCATGTGACTCATAGTAATAATCACTCCATAATGAAGAGAGCTGTGCAGCAGGTGAGACGCAAACAGAGAGACGCAGAGCTGCTTCAGCAGTCACTCCGCAAACTTAACGGACTTACACGTCAACACCTTCCGGTAAGTATCGCTCACAGCCTGGTTGTTGCTTTGGAAAGTGTACAAGTGATGGATGACAGAGGTTTGTTTCGTTATAATCTGCTTCTTATCAGACTTGACCGCACTGGATAGTTTGATCAAATGCAATAAAAGCACTTAAGCAAACTTTTACCACCTGCAGCTGCTCCAGGGGCATCATGGCTCCCTGTACACAAGCCAAGAAAAAAAAAGCCAGCAGTGGTGACTCAGTGAGTCATCAATCATTGTCTGTCGGTTTTAATGGTAAATACCAACAATGGCTTCTGTTGATTACAGGGTTCAGAAAATGGCCCTACACTGTTGTGACCTTTTTTTTTTAATTCATTCATTGACAGCCAAAATATTCAAATGCAAATCAGCCTGTGAATCACAGCTAGGAGATCTGTTCTATAAATACGGATCCAAACCCCCCTGTTGTCCTCGCAGGGCCCGACAGAGGTGATCCTGCGAAGCAGGAAGGAGAGCAGGAGAGCGCAGAAACACTTTTTTCCGGGAGGAGAGCGCAGTGTCGTATAATGTCAGTTGTGGGCGCGCAGCCTTTCATCAAGCCAATGCAGTCCCCACCTTCAGTTTCGCCCGGTATCCAAAGGAGACACACGCTTCCCGCGAGTGAAGTCCGACCGCTCAACACGCAGGATGCCATAAGCGTCTTTGAAATCGAGCGAGAGGGTAAGTGATCCTTCCTGTGGGTCTTATGCTGACGCAGAAATCCGCTCTGGACTTTTTGCTGAGTGGAAATAAGGATTTTGTTAAAGTGTGGTTTCATGTGGGGATTTGATTTATTTAACGAAGTCACGTGATGCATTTTCCTTTGGTGTATGAACTAAAGATGTCGTGATTGCTCCACAGTCGATTAATTGATCGATTTGGTCCGTTTAAATGTGTGCGTAAAAGTTGTGCCAAACCGCTATTGCGCACGGACCACCAATCTCTCTCTCTCTCTCTCTCTCTCTCAGCATTTATCTCAGTGTCAGGTGAGTGCCCCCTCCATCTGGATGAAGTACGTCACTTCCTCACACTGTGTCCAGAGCTATCCATGGGCTGGTTTGAGGAGGGTCGGTTGGTGGCTTTTATCATCGGCTCTCTGTGGGACCAGGACAGGCTCACCACAGTAAGACATCCTGCATTTTTTTTTCTCTCTCTGTCCTTTCACAGTTAAAAATCATCACTAATTATTAAACCTCCCATTTCCGCTCCCCTCCAGGAAGCGCTGACGCTCCACAAGCCCTGCGGCTCCACCGTGCACATCCACGTCTTGGCTGTCCATCGCACTTTCAGGCAGCAGGGCAAAGGTCCCATCCTCATGTGGCGCTACCTGCAGTATCTCCGCTGCCTGCCCAACGTGCGCCGAGCGGTGCTGATGTGCGAAGACTTCCTCATCCCCTTCTACCGCAAGTCGGGCTTCAAGGTGCTGGGGCGATGCGCCATCACCGTGGCCAACCTGACCTTCACCGAGATGTGGTACCCAATCAGCGGCCACGCGTACATGCGCCGCAACAGCGAAGCGATCCGCTTCCCTCAGCACCCTCTGACTGTGCCCCTGACAAAGACTGACGAACGCGTTGATGTATGAAGTGCTTACTGAGGGCCGAGCAGGCTGTCTTTAATCTAAGAGGAAGGAATTCAGTGTTGTTCTCTGTAGCATCTTTCAGGGTTTGTCTCAAGTTTCCAGCCGTTTCTCTGATTTGTTGGACTTTTGATCCCATGTGAAATGATTTTAATATGTATAATAAAACAAAGGATGTACTATATACTGTACTGTGACGTGTTATAAATATGCGAGAAGAGTCAAGTAGTGAGTAACTGGAGTTAAATGTCGCATTTGTGGTAGACTTTGCGCTTGGGTGTAAAGCTGTCTTCTGCTAAGCACCTTCCTGGGCTTCCTACAACTGTGGTCTGACGTCAGTAAACCGGGCTTTAGCAGCTCAGTCACAGCTCCACCATCCTCCAGCTCCTCCTCAGCTCCATTAGGGGGCTTTAGCTATTGTAATCACCGAGTGGGGATTAGTTAACCTGTAGGACCAATGACCTTTACCTAGAGAAGCACAAACAGAGCAGGTTGGCGTTAGTTGTGACGACAGTTTGACAAACCATGTAATTTTTTTTAAGTTCTTTTCTGTGACAGTGTTTCAATAAAATGTTTTATACTGTTTTTTAAGATGAAAAAGTTTCATTTTTAATGTAATTTGTTCTCTCAGACATTTGATATTCTCTTTGCTGTAAGATTGCACTAACCATAGCTTACACAAGCACCCACTGTCTTTAGCTGTCCCTGCACTCCATGCTGTAGACAGTGTGCTGTGCAGGTGAAGCTGTAATCCATGACACAGTCACCGACTCAGGTGTAATCCCCTAACGTACCAGGACGAGCTGCTCCCACCCCTCTGAAGGACAAACCTGGTAGTGGTCACCTCATAAATGACCCAGAACTGTCACATCAACACTACCTCAGAGTGGAAGTCTGAATGTAAGCGCATTTATGGATATTTCTTAAAAAGCTATGGGGAGAAAAATCATCACAGGATTAAAATTGCTCTCTCTTGGATGTGAGAGACGAGCTGGATTCTATCTTTACACTTTGTACCTTAAAGATCAGGTACTTATTTAGACCCCTGTATTTCCTACGTCATGAAGGCCAAACCTTAACCTCTGGTGATTTGGTACTTCCCTGTAATGGTCCAAAAATGATGATTATGGTCCAAAAGTAGGGAATTTGAATCTGCACCTGTAGCCACTAAACACAGAGGGATTTAAACTCATCAGAAATAGAAATAAAACTTTAAAACCATTAAAATATAATCCAACCATTTTCTTCCACTTACCCAGCTGCAGTCTGTCCGAGCTATCAGTGACCGAACACGGTTCAGTGGAATGTAAGTATGTGCATACAGTAGTTTTGTGAAGTATGAAGACATAATGACGCAAGACTCAGACTGTGAAAAATCAGTCAGTGCCTCTCATCTGATCACCTTAGGATCAGCTGGGTTTTTTTTTTGTTAATTAGAAGAAGAAAAAATTGTAAATAAATGTAAAACTGATTGGGGTGCAGTTATACACTCAATAGTCTCTCCATTAGGTACACCTGATCAGCTGTGCGTTAATGCAAATATCTGATCAGCCAATCACATTGCAACATTTCAGTGCATTTAGGCGTGTAGACATTGACGAGGTGACCTGCTGAAGTTCAAACTGAGCATCTGAGTGAGAATGAACTGGGATTTAAGTAACTTTGAAGGTGGCATGGTTGTTGGTGCCAGGCAGGCTGGTCTGAGTGTTTCAGAAACTGCTCATCTGCTGGGATTTTCCAACACAGCCATCTGTAGGCTTTACAGAAAATGGTCTGAAGAAGAGAAAACATCCAGTGAGCAGTAGTGTTCTGGCTGAAAGGCGATGGTAAGCCAACTCATCTCCTGATTTATTACAACCACAGAAGAGCATCTCTCAGTGCACATTGAACATGGAGCTGCAGAAGAGCACACTGGGTGGTGCTTGTGCCAGCTAAATAGGAAACTAAGGCTACAATTAGTACAAGCTCACCAAATTGGACAATAGAAGAAGTTTTATTAGCTAGAGTCGGTTAAACATTGCCTGATCTGATGAGTCTCGATTTCTTCTGTGACATTCAGATAGTGGGTGTCAGAATTTGGCATAAACATGGGTCCATCCTACCTGGTATCAGGCGGATGCTGCTGGTGTAAAGGTGTCGGGGACATTTTCTTGGTTAACCATGGGTCTCGTAGCACCAAATGAGCATCATTTAAACATCACACCTACTAGAGTATTGTTGCTGACCATGTTCATTCCTGTATGACCGTAGTGTACCCATCCTCTGATGTCCCCCTCAGATTCAACCCATCTAACTTGTTGAATCTGTGCCGCAAAGAATTAAAGCAGTTCTGAAGGTAAAAGGCTGTCCGAGCAAAAGCCACCTACCTAATAAAGCAGCTGGTAAGTGAAAGTTTTGTCTCTCTCTTTTACTGTATAAAAATGCTCTCTTTAAATATGATTTTTTCCAGGAAACTGAACTATTTCAATTTGTGACTCCTTTTAAAAATCTTGTAGACTTTGGGAAGGATGATTGCATCAAAGATTTTTTCACATTCTTTCAGTTAAATTTTTCTCTTCCAGCAGAAATCTGCAGAGTGAAGTTGGCTCGCAGCGATATTGTCTTATGGCTGATTCCAGCCAGCTGGCACCTTTGCACATTTTGCTCGATGGGAGTTTCTTCCTCCTGGCAGAAAGTTTTATTTTAGTCTTGTGATACTGAGGTCTTCATAAGGCCATGCATGCTGTTTATTTAAGGATTTGTCAGTGTGTGGATGACTGTGATGAGAACTCATATAGTTTGCAGCTTTATATTTAAATGCTTTCAGTAATGATCAATTTCAAGTAGCAACAATAGACTGAAAATTTGCTGCCTATATTTATTTAAAGAGTGCAAATACTGGACGGGCTGCCTGAATGAGAGCGCTCCAAATGGTAGCTGATATGTTGTTGGCATGATTGCAGGGCAGGCATATGTGAGGCTTTGCCGTCTTCATTCACAGAGTCCAAATCAATTCAGAGACCTATTGTCAATGTTTAACCGATAGCGCCGTAGTCTAGAATTATAACTGCAATAATCAAACAAAACAAAGAGGAGCTTCCAATTATCACATACGTCACTCGGGCAATAATCGGTGAGTCCAAAGGGACCACTTTTGCTGCTACGCACTAGTGATGCTGCCATATAGCAGGCTTTTTAATAGGCAGGCGGTTATTAGACACGCATTATGGGGTTAGACACAAAAACATCTGAAATCCACAATTTAACTCCAATTTTCACTTTGAAAAAATGAGAAATTACATCATTATGTGAGCCAACTACATTAAGTGAGATGACCCAACCAAATCAGGGGACATCCTTCATCCCCCCGGCTTTGGACACAGAATGGGGCTACTGCAGTCTCCAGACAGGCTCACGTGCAATAATCCCACAAAGTCCTTACAGTCACCGGGTAATCTGGCAGGCAGACATCCCAGCATGGAGGCCACACATTCCCAACACCGTTTTCTATCACCACCGCAGTGTTAGACCATAACCAATATCACAACTTAGGCCCATGTAGACAAATCAGCTTCTGCACGCTCCTTTGCTCATCGGCCTGGAGACAAGAAGGCGTGCACGTCGCTGGGGCAGTCTGTTATTAGACGCACGCCTCAACGAGTTCGACCTTGTTAACCTTAACGCACTACAGTGCTCTTATGTGACTCATGTTTAATCTGTATCCGTAATCCACCATTTCCAAACATATGACTCGCTGGGGTTGGCAGCTTTGTACAACTATTTTCATGAGAGGGGTATTTGTAGTTGCAACACAAGCGTCACTTATGAAGAACACTGTTTCTGGTAATGCCAGATTCCTCATATTAATGTTGAAAACTAGGAGTCCGCGGTCATCATGGACTGTATATAAAACATGGACAAAGCTGGCAAACTAAAAAGTGAAGGCCGGAGAACTGGAGAAGTGGCTTGAACCTGCAATGTCCAGCAGGGGGCAGCAAATGCAGCTGCATAAAGTTGTACAGAAGTCTGCTTTATGACCTGAGTAAACGCTTTCCAGATGAGTTTATAGGTTCTATTGCTACTTTCAGATCATACCGACTCAGTTCTGCAGCACTTTGATGTCCAGGTTACACCCGTGACTGGTCAAAAGCCTATCACAGGCTGCAGCTGGTTGTATTTTAAATAACAAGGCAGAAAAAAAATCAAAGTGAAGCATTTTAATAAGCCCCTATGCAGCACATACATAACAAAAAATAACTGTTTTCACAGCAGACCAACAATAGAACTGGAAAAAATGAAACAGATAAAAGTGTGCAGCTCTACCAGACACTTTTTTTTCAGTGTTTTCAAAACATATGAACACCTGTCTTTCTCTTTTTCTTTCCCCCCTAAATATGTTAAATAGACTTTTCATGCACCCTCTAGCACCACAGTCTGTAGAAAATTAAATCTTTAGCTAAATTTAGACTTTAAAACTTCCTAGAAACGGAAGTTTGAGTATGATGGAGCATTGGCAACGTCAGTGGAGGTTGCAGGAAGAAGCAAGAGGCCTGTGCTGAAATCTTTTCTACACAGATCCATCGCCTGTTTGTATGATATCTTCCCTTTACTGATGGGGTCCACCAGCTCCTTTGTGTGGGAAGCCTCATCTTGCAGATCTTTTGCCGTTGTGCTGTCAATCAGACCGGTGGCGAGAGCTTCCTTGATAGTGAGGCGGCCTGCTTTGGTGGGATCTACCAACCCGCCGGTCAAATACTGCGCCTCTAAGTACCTCCTGGCATTTTCTTGGGGAATGAACCCTTTCTGTGCTGCCTGTCCTACAGCGAGACGCTGTTTGGTCACAGGATCCTCGACTCCGGTGAAGGCCTTCTGGGCATTCAGAAGCTTATACTTTTGGTTTGTGTCAATGAGGCCCTGTTCAGCTGCTTTGTGGACAGACAGCTTGTCCTTTTTGCCCAGATCAACTATTCCACCGGTGGCTGCTTGTGCCTCCAGCAGCTTTAGAGCAGTGTCGGCATCAATGAGACCGCGGGTGAGGGCACTTCTCACAGACATGCGGCTTTCGGTGGTGGTGTCAAAAATGCCAGAGATTGGGAAAAACTCATCACCTGGTAAAGCGCTGAGGTTGGTCAGACTGCCGAGACTGCCGCTGTATTGAGTGTTCAGGTTAGTGTAGGAGGACCTCAGAGATGAAGACATGGAGCTCAAGGGAGAGGTTGAGATGGGTTTGGTAGGAGCGGTTGGGATTGTTTTGGTGGGAGATTTTGGCATTAATGGAGGAACGTAGGGCTTGCTTCTTTCGCCTGCAACGAGGAGAGCAAACTCAGAAATGGGCATTTTCCCTTCCTTGTAGCGGCTCACGTCACGTTGAGTCAAACGGCCCTCCCTCAGAGCATCCCTCACAGAGTACTGATTCCCACTTTTTCGATCGTGCAAAATGATTGTATCTCCACCTGGACCACTTGAAGTGATTTCCTCCCAGTCACACTCCAGCTCTGACAGCTTGATGTACTGGTTTCGATCGATTAGTCCCTGTAAGTAGGCATCGTAGGGTGACAGATCTTTACCAGTTTCTGGATCGAAGATGGTGATCTTGGTGGAAAGAT